CTAACACCGTTGGCCGATTGCTTCGACCAATTACGTCAAGTATTGAGCTCCAGCATTTGAACTTTTTTTAAAAGGAGCTCTGATTGTAAAGTAAAATAAATCAATACATACAAAATTTTAGTATGGATTACAAATGTTTACTGTTTTTGCTATTGCCTTCCTGCTACGTAAGCAGACACAAAGCATTGTGGGAAATCAGAACCGTGACCCAAAGCAACAGTCAGCAAGGATGTATACCTTCACAATAAGTGTGTAACTCGCTTATGAATTATAAAAATTAATAAGTCCGCTAAAGCAGACCAAATCCTAAAGAGAGGAGTGTCAGATGGAGCTGAAATGAAAGCTAAAACAGTGATGTCATTTAGCTAAAGTGATTTTTGATTTGGATTCGTGTTCACTTGGAACAATCCTGTGGCTTAAAGCTGAGCTTTTCTGATTTATCTTCGGGAAGTTTTTTGGTTGACTGCTGTCAACYACTTTGTTGTTCTGGCATAAAGAGCTGTTGTGAATTTTCTCCTGTTTTCCACAACAAATCCACCGTCTGTGAGCTGAGCTTTTCAAGCATGACTTCTTCAAAAACCTCAAACTTAGAGGTGCTGAGGAAGAGCTTTGTGTGCAACTTTCTTCAATTCCTGCCAGTGTATCAGCTCTGTCTTCATCCCAACAGGATCATGTTTCACTCTGACTGGACTGCGTTAGTCTGTCATGTTGTAATGTTTGGATTGGTGGTGATTTAGAGGATATTTTTACTTAAAAATGCACTTTGTTTAAAATAAAAGTGCATTAACGTGACTTCATTGGGTACTTTGAATTTACAGAGTTTAAGAATAATGACTGTGTGGTGTTGGAATAGTTTCTCTCTATTGTCATATTCTCAATACTTTGCATTTTAAAGTAGCAAATACTGTAGTATATTTCTTCTCGAATACTTTGCATAGTAATTATTGGTCCTAACTGTGTGTTGGGTGCAGGATTTGAGTTTCAGAAACCGACAGCACACTGCTTCACTGCTTCACTGCTAAAACCTTCTAAACCCTCACAGCAGGCTAAAAGTCATCTTAAATCAAATATTTTATTAGGAGCATAAAGACAGTAATTGTCTGCAGGTTTGGTGACTTTAATCAGCTGATTGTTACAAAATTAGATTTAAAGTTCATTTTGTCAAAACTGGGATTTTAAACTATATATTATGCAGTGTTTAAATGTTACACAAAATGATTGTAATCGTAGTTAGGTTATGGCTGAAGTGCACACGTGTTGTTTGGAGAGAATGAAATTAATCACAGCTATGAGTTTTATAATCACCAACTGGGAGTCACCCAGTGTTTTTTCTTTCTCACTGGATGGTCACAGTGTTCAAATCTGTTGTGTTTTAGATTTGAAGAGAATAAATAGGATGTTCCTGATCTCTTTGCCTGCTACTATTATGGTTTAATGAACAAACTCAGAGTCACAGAAAGTTATAAACCAGAGCCTCTAGAACAGAGATTCTTAACCCATGGGCCGCGGCCCACAGCGCCACCTTCAGGGCCTCAAAAGAACAACAGTTTTTAACTTTGG